AATAGAGATGGGGGTTTCACCATGTTGGCCAGGCTGGTCTCAAACTCCTGACCTCAGGTGATCTGCCCATCTCGGCCTCCCAAAGTGCTGGGATTACAGGTGTGAGCCACCACACCCGGCCTACTCCTTTACATTCACTGTTATTTATTTATTTATTTTTTTAATCATCTCTGACAGGTGCTGTGGATGATACACTGCAAGAGACTACAAAACCTTTAAAGGTATTTAGATTTTTTAAAAATTTTTTTATTTTGTAAGGAGTTAAATTACTGACACATCATTTTCATACTCTCAGACTTGGTTTTATTCTTTGTTGGAGCTATTTGTGTATTTGCTTTTGTTTTTCTGTTCTTTAAACCTGAGTATGGTTTTTTAATTCTCAAGTTTTGACATGGCTACAATTTCAACTGAATGTCCACATTTGGCAAGTCTTCTGCCACCTGGCTAGGCTTTAACTCCAGTGCCTTTTAGGACTTTACAGACTATGTTCTTCCTCTCAGTTCTTAGCTCCCCTGCAGCAGTTACTTTCTCAGAGCCTTCAGAGGAGTCTCCACATGTGCAAATTGTCTTCGAGTCATGGAAATAGGGAACCCTCTACAGATTTTGAGATCACACTCTCAGTACTCCCTCATTTCCAGTAACCTATCCTACTAAAATTTCAAGCACTTCTGTTGCCCTGAACTCCATTTGTCTTCAGCTCAGTGAGGCTGCTGTACTTTTATTGGATTCCAACTTATTGTACTATGGTGGAAAAGGTTTTCCAGCTAGAAAGCCTGAGTGAATGTTATGCTAACTTTCTTCTCCTTTTCTAAAAATCAGAAGCACTCTTGAAAAAATTTGTCTCATGTCTTTTTGTTTGTAATTTAATTACTGTTTAAAGTAAGAAAAGCAATTTGGTCCTAGGTAACATACAACATATATGAATCAAATGTAAAATTTTTCTATTTTAAATAAACATGTCTATGTTTACCACTTTCAAAATAAACATGTAAGTTAAAGACTTATAATAATTTTGAAAAAATAATTATTTTTAGTAACTATCTTATTATTTGCATAAAAGTAAATTGGACAAATATTTTAATCAAATTACGTTAATCCCTCTACATAGGGAGCCAGTGATTTCATTAGATTTAATCTTTAAAATGTCAGCATCCAAATATGGCATCAATTCTTACTAAATATTATAAATAATATAAACTAAATATAGTTGTATCTATCAAATCCTCAAATAATACAGCTAACCACAAAATTAACAC